TGAGTAATATCCATCTGCCAGATCTTGTTAGGGCAGGTGTGAGACCAATGACCCTGTGAGCAGCCAGTGCCTCAGTGAGAGCTGTGGCATGAGCTCAAGCAGTCCCCACATCCCAACAGGCTAGAATCCATTCAGAGACATCCTTGTGTCTAACAGGTCCTATGGCAAGATAACACTCAGTAGAGCAGCCTTCATATTCAAGATTCTTGAGCAAAGCATCTGTGGCCCCCTGATGGCTGATTTTCCTATTAACACTTTATTGGCACCTTTCAATGAAGTCAGAGAAAGGCTCACCTATTTTTGTATCAATCTGGTCAATTTGGTATCCTCACGAGTTGGCATACTTCGGAAAGGACGGAGCACACAAAGCCACACTTGTTCAAAGTAGCGAGGAGGTCCCTATGCCTGGGCTTGTGGGGTTTTAAAATTGCCACACCCTACAAAGGTGTCAAATCCAATGTTTTGAACATTGGCATTTCTATTGCCCTCTGCCTGTTGTTCTCATTCATCCTGATAAGCAACCTTCTATAAGAGAAAAGCACCTCCCTGTAGACAGGCACGGGCAATATACTGCCAGTTATAGGGGGTGTTGGCTGCATGGCTGATTGTATCTAATAGCTGACCAAACCAAAGGTAATGAATGCCATAGTCCCTGATTGACAGTAACCAGGAAAAACTGTAGAAAATAACCCATTGTATAGAGGGGCCTAGGTGGGAGGGGCTTCCAGTCCTCCTCTGGAAGGGAGGGGCAGATGGACTGGGCGTAAACTTCCTTAGAGCTAGTGCAAGATGGCAGAAAGCAGCCATCACCCTGTAATGGCGGAGTGGAGGCTGCCTTAACTTCCCATTTTTCATCGAAGCCAATACAAGATGGCGGAGGGTAGCCACTGCCCCATAATGGTGGGGCAGGGGTGATCTTGACTTCCTGTTTTTCATCAGGGGACCCTCATATCCTAATTCCTCATTTTTTACCTCATTATCAGCAGTCATCATTTCTGCATCATAAGAGAAATCAGTTAGTGTGATTTTGACTGGAAACGCCTGGGACAAGCCGTCCCCACTATCCTGTTGCTTTATGTGTTTATTTATGTTTTTTAGTATGAGATTATTCTGCTCAGGGGCATCGGGGGGAGCTCCCCAAAGCGAGGGCAGAATGGCAGTCACAATGGGGTAGAACAGGGCAGATAATGGATGCCCCTCCCTGACTTCTCTCTTTCTGGCCATGAATAGCACACAAGCCCGTTGCTCAAGATCCCAACAGCAGGAACCCCTAAACCAAGGAGCAAGAGCTAGCACTTCATCTAATACCTTAGTTACTTCCTTCTCTATTACTCTAATTTGCCTACTCCTGAGGAGAGAAACCAGTGCAGCAGCACTGAGGCCGGCAGCAGCTGGATGACTAATCCCCATACTGGAGGTCACTCACCCTACAAGAGGTACCCAGAAGGACTCAGGAGCCATTCAGGAAGATGATCGGTGGAGACAGGAACGACACGCCAAACCAAAGACTGAGATGCAGAAGAATGAAAGCGGCGAGCACCCAAGGAAGAATCAGTGGCAAAGAGGGCATCTGGAACCCCGAGTGTCCCAAGTGTTACAGCCTCATGGGGTCGGGCTTTTTGAGCCCCACATTGGGTGCCAGCTGCAGCCACTGCCAGAGGTGGCCGCTCCTCTGTTCTCGTGGGTGCTGCTCCTTTGTTCTCACAGGCATCGAGGCTGCTCCTCCACTCGCTCTGGTCTGAGGCTGCTCTTCTGCCTGCCCTGGGCTGAGGCCACTCTTCTGCTTGCCTGGTGCTGAGGCAGCTCTTCTGCTTGCCCTTCACTGCCTCCTGTTGTCGCTGCTTCTGCCCATCCCGGACCCCAGGGCTGGTGAGGAGACTGTGTCAGTGGAGCCGCATTCAGACACAGAAGGCCAGGTTCAGTGACACAGGTCTGCTTTATTGCAAGAAGGCATAAGCTTATATAGGGATAGAGGCCCAATCACAGCACAGCAAGTAGGATACTTCATTAGCATAACAGGTTTAGCATCCTATCAAGTACAGCAAGTAGGATACCTTATTAGCATCATGCTATTAGCATAACAGACTTACGTCCTATCACAGAAGAGAGGGTAGATTGCCTCATTATCATACTTTGGGGACCCCTGCTGTGAAGTCTAGTCTCTCCATGTCCGGGTGGCCCACGGGCTCAGTTTCATATGCAGATGACTCCTTTCAGCAGAGTACCTGGCATTTTCCTGACTCACCTTTTGAAGTGCCCGCCACAAATGCCCTAACATAAACATGGCCTTTGGCTCTAGGAATACCATGCTTTCCTGTGATTTTTCAAGCAGTCTGACAGTCTGCAACATGGCAGAAACCCACTTCCATATGCAAATAGAATGTCTCACAAAGTCTATCAGCCAAAGCTTTTACCGCTACCCCCATTGGATA